CTAAAAACATTTCTAACTATGTTTAAAAGCCCACTTAACCATAGACATGACCTCTTTTTTCTTCCCACTCTACGAGGTAATAAAGAACCTTGACACGTCATTGTGGCAGCAGTGGAATAAGGGCAGTTAGATGGGAAATGCTCATTTTGGGTGGATGCTGTGCACAGTTGACATGACAGGAGGAAGATGATTTTGCTGTTCCAGAGACATTTTCTCCATTGCAGAAATGTCAGGGGGTTCACCTTCGATCAGCAGGCAGCTGTGCCAGCCTAATTCTGGGGGAGCACAGCTGGTACCTGCTGCTTGCCCAAGCTAAGAGCAGCTGGGAGTTCTCACACCTTCTTTCTGTGTATTTAAAACCATGTATTTTTCATGTATCTTTTTGAAATTCTTAACGGAGATTTTCAGCAAAACCCACCACTTTTCTTATTCCTTAGTACCCACCCTTCAGCATCTTCTCAGACTGCTTAAGCCCCTTTGCTCCTGGGAGGATTTTTTCCAAAAGGAAATATTTTGTCTGTGTATTAATATTAAAATCACAATTAGCAGATGAAACATAGCATATAAAACCTCTTGGTAGGACATGTAAAATAAAATTAGTTGCCCAGCTGCTCAGGGCAGGACACTCTGTGCCAGTCCTGGAAGTTCTTGCTGCCGTGGTTTGTGAACATGCTCATGCCATTGCAAAGCACAAAGATCTGCTTCCCTCCTGTCCTTCATCTAAAGCATCCAGGGTGATGCAATGCCAGCAGCTCTAGTGGAGGGCAGAGGGGCCAGGAGCTGGCCAGCAGGTCACAGCATGGACACGTGTGGAAAGAACAAGGCTGGCTCTGCTGACATCAGTGCATTAGAGCTCTGGCAGCTCTGTGAGGACCAGCTCTGTTCCTCCCTCTGCATGTGGGAAGGATTTGTGGGGCTCCCTTATTCTGACTTCTGAACAGGTGCCTGTTTATATGCTGTGGGGTGTTTAATTTTGCCTTAATGTGACTGTCGAACACCGGTTTTTGTGAAGTGTGCTGGGCACTTCCCTATAAATAAATGATGGAGCATTATTCAGTCCACTTAGATCAATACATCAGCTTGACAAGTTCCAGTTCTGGGAATTTTCTGACCCCCTGGAACATCTTCTCTGCAGCCGTGCTGCTTATAATCCATGGTGTGCAGCTTAAACAAACTCCAGAGAGCAGCACATCAGGACCCAGCTATGTTGGTGCTGTCACTTTGCCAGCCCGGGCGTTGCTGGGGATGGGCACTGATGTGCACTGGGATTGCAGCAAGAGCAGGAGAGTCAAACTCGGTGCCAAACTGCACAAGCAACCACCACCATGGGATTGCCCAACCTCACTGGCACACCCTCTGTCCCAACACAGGGGACCATCTTTGTACACCAGTGCTATCAGAAATAGGACACAGAACATGTTTCAGGCTCTTTGCAATCTGAGGCAGATGTGTTATAGTATAGCTACTGGGAAGGTCTGTGACCTGGTGCAACAGGAGGTTGGTTTCAGATCTTTTTTTGCTCTGTTATAAAGCCAGCCTCAGATGCTGTGATTCTGCACATGTCTGTGTCATGTCTATGCCCCATGTTTTATCCCCACTTCTGGTTTTAGGATTTTCTGCAGGATATGTGGGGTGCAGGTTACCAAATTACCTGCCTCCTCACACCAGCATTTGTTTAACAACATGTGGATTATCTGTGGTGCTTGCTCTGTGCATGGAAACACAGTATGTTCCTAATCTCCTGCTGCTATTAGCTCACATTTATCACAGGAGTATCTGCTTACCTTTGATTCGAGATCCCTCCATCAGGGACCCAGAGCAGTACTTGTCTGTGAACTGCTGTGTATGCCTATGGGATTGCATAAGTAAATAAATATAATTAATAATCATCTGACTTCAGAGCAGCATTGGTAGGGAGGTAAATGCAACCTTCATAGAATTGCAAACAAAATCAGGAAAAAAGGAAAATCTTTCTGGGAGATCGTATGAATGAAAATAATTGTATTCAGGCTGCTTGAAAATTATTCTGTAAACATTGTTCAAGTGTTTTTTAGTAGATCAGAAACATTGAGTTTCTCTCTAAATTGGAATTTTGGCCAGAACCATTTAAAAATAGATTTTTTAAAAGATGCCTGCATTTTTATCAATTAAAATGCAGATAAAAATAAAGAAAACTGAGAGTCCTGGCCCTGCTTCAGTGTCGGACCTTAAAGGGAGCAACCCAGTCTCTGGCAACACTAAGACTGAACCAGAGAGAGGGAGAAAGTAGTGCAGTTTCCTCACAGAACGGGTTTCATGGCAGTTTTTTGGCTTGCGAGTGAACTAGGAGCATTTCAGACTTTCTCACAGTTTGCCACAAGGATAAGCACTGAAGAGACAGAGGTCTGCACCACTGCTGGGTCATAGAGCTGGCAGGGAAGTGGTTGACACCAGAGTCCCAGCAGCTCCAGTGAGCCAGTGGCCACAGCCACCCCTGCAGGCTGGGTACCCCTGATGCTGGTGAGCCACCGGCGCTTTCTGCCTCGCTTTAACAGTCAGAAGAAGAACTTTCCTGTTTAAAGATTAAACGTTGTCTTTAAATATTAAACAGCAAAGCTCCTTGCTCTTGATTGTGTAGCTGCTGCCAGCAGGCGGCTCAGAATTGCCACTTTTAATTAAAAAACTTTATTTTCCATCGCAGCCCAGCAGTGGCTCCTCCTCTCGGCCAGCGGTGGCTGACCTCTCCCCTGCCTTCATCCCTTCATCATCGCTGCCTGCACTTCCCTCTGCCTGCAGCAGTGATGGTCCCTGCCAGCCCCGGTGTGTGAGCAGCCTTGTCTGGGACTGATCAATGCCCCTGGCACTTCCTTCCAAAACCCCAGGAAAAACAATTAAAACCCGATCGATCCTGCAGGCAGCTTTGAATATGCATAAGTGCACACTTGACCTTCAGTGGTCAGGCCAACTTCCACCCCAGCTGCTTAGGTAGTTTGCTCAGGTATTGTGGCTGTACTGAATGACCTTGATCAGGAAAGCAGAACGCGATGCAGAGATGGGCCCAATGCTGATCCGGGGGCTGGGGCAGTGCTGCCAGCTCCCTGCTGCTGCAGAGCCAGGGGAGGCAGGCTGAGGTTTGCAGTAGCACCCAGCTGCCAAGAGCTTTCCAAAGCTGTCCCCGTGGCTTTCTCGGGGTCTTGCCAGTCTCCCCCTGTGCTCCTTCAGTTGCTTCTGGCTAGAGTCCAAGGGATGTCTGAGCTAGGAAGGCAGCCTGTGATGTGGTAGCTCCCTGTCCAGGGACACGGACACCCTTGTCCTTCCCCATCTGGGGATATCCCTTCTCGAGGATGGCCCCCACCGCTGTCCAGCCAGTGGTGCTGAGCATGGGAGCCTTACTGTGCTCTGCCTGTGTTTGCTCTGTGGGATGGAGCCCAGGAGAGGGAACAACACGTGGAACCACTTCTGCCACCTGGCAGCTGGGTGGCAGGATCCCCTCCTGCACCCCAATCTCTGGCTGCCCCCACCCTGTGGCTGGCTGGCCAGCATCCCGATCATGGCAGGGAACATACCATAGCGTGTTTGTCAAAGGCAAAGGAAATCTCCCCGTTGTGTACACAAAGTGTAATTTCAGTGAATTATGCATAGACTTAATTAGGAGTTTTAATTGCTAATCATCTCCCAACAGGATTAGCAATGCTGTCTATTAATTATCTGTGGAGCCCCCTGTTTTGCTAAGGCAGGAGTAACAAAGCAGCATGAATGGCTACATGGGCCACTAATAAATTAACTCCCCCAAGCCCTGTGGCTCCCGGGGGGGCTGCCAGCAGAAGGGGCTGCACAGGCACTGGACCTGCCTGCTCTAGACAGAGCAGCAGGTAGCAGGAAAGAGGGGCTGGCAAGAGGTCCCAGCAGCAGGCAGGTGGCTGGTGGGCTGATGAGCTGGTGGGGGACACCTCTCAGCTCTGGTCACCCAGTTCATCCCCATTCCTGCTGCAGAGAGCATCTCCCTGACACTTGCAGCCTGCAGAGGGTGTTAGCAATGCCCTGCCACACTGTGGCTGCGGTTAGCGATGATCCCCCGCTGCAGGAGGGAGATAGGGGCTGCTGCATTGACCTGATCTCATCTGGGGACAATGGCCCTCACGGCAGCAAAGATAGTGCCAGCATGAGAAACGCTAAGCCAACGCACCTTTCTTACTGCTCACAATGCGTTCTGAGCTTAATTCCTCAAGATGAAGAAGATATGTGGCTGTCAGGCTGTAATTACAGCCGTGCGTGTGACATGGAGGACTGGCTGCTTTTATGTTTGCATTGTCCAGTGGGTTTTTGTGCTGCTTTGGCTCCCAGCTGCCTTGCTCCTCCTGGAAGCCCTGCCAGAGGATGCTGTGAGTATGAAGCAGGTTCCCTCTGGCCAGGCAGCAGGCTCTGTGCAATGGGGTGAGCAGTGTGGCTCCCAGTAGAATTTATCCCAGTGATGGAGAGCGCCGAGGCAGTTGGGGCTTGAGGGTGGAAAGGAGAGGGAGCTGGGAGGGCTCTGCTTGTCGGGGCCTGAGACGGGGCCTGCTGGCCAGACCAGCCTGGGAATGAACACCCCTTTCTAAACCCCCTTACTCCTGTTGGCAGCCCTGTTAAGGCTGGAGTGGGTGGATGATTTTGGAGCAACTAATGGACATAGGGCATGAGCTTAGCCCCTGGCTTGCCCCACCACAGCATGGCAAAGGTGTCCTTGAGTGATGCAAGCCCCTCAATCACAAGGTTGTCATGTGTACAGGACACCACCAGAGGCTCTGAACACCTCTAAGGAGAATCAGGTGGGACAGGGCAGGGGGAGAGTGCTTTGCGTGGGCAATTCCAGAAGAGCTGCTGTGAGGGTGATGTGCGGGTCTATACTGAACACGGTGAACACAGACACACGCCAGCCCCTGAACACAGACCTACTCCAGCCCCAGGAGCAGTCAGACCTGGGCAAGTACAGGGCATGCTTGCACATGGGCTATGTCTGACCCTCTGCTTCTCTCTTCCAGGCGTACAGCTTTGCCATGGGGAGTTGGCCAAAGAACGGGCTCTTAGACATGAACAAAGGACTGAACCTACAGCACATAGGGAGGCCTCACAGCGGGATAGGTGAGTGATGCTGCCCCGTGCCATTTCCATCCCCACAGCTGCTGCTCCGGGTGTGTGGGACATGCCTCAGCTCTAAGACATTGTCCAGTCTGGGGTGCTGAGAACAAACCAAAGGGCTGCAGAGTCCCCAGCTGGTGGAAGGGATGAAGATGTGTCAGGGCAGAATGGGCACATGGATGACCTCTCTGTCCTTTGCACATGCCAGTGTGCCAGACATACCTGCCAGTCTCTCTGGCTGGGGAGCTGCTTCCCTCCTAGACTTCTTTAGCAGTGCTTGGATTAGGGTTGGGTGTGAGCAGCACCATGTGCCTGGAGCACAGCACAAAGGTCTCCAGGCTGGGTGGGATGCTCTCCCTGTTGGACCAATCCTCCAGTTGCTCTGGATGCTGCAGTCCTTGGAAAGGAGGCTGTGCTGCCTGACTTGGGAACTGGCTGGAAACACACTGCAGAGTGAAGATGCGTGATCCCAGCTGGAAAACTGAATCACTGTCCTGTTTGTTAACATGTATGATGAGTTTCGTGGTCCTGCAGCATGCTCCAAGATAAACTGATAAACAATGCTCTGAGATAAACAGTGGCAGAATTTCATGTATCCCCCAACTCCTCTGCACCAGAGATCAAAGTGATATGAGAGAGCCCTGGCCCAGGACACTGAGGCCGTATATCTGCCTGCTGCTTAACAGTGGGGATGCAGAGCTGGTATAGCAGCAGGCTGTGGTACTGGCAGGAGCTCAGATTTACTGGGCTGTAGACAGTGTTGTGACTCAGGGCTGCATCACTCTTATCTGTCTTGTTTCTCTGTGGAGCAGTAGATCGCCTCTTGGAGACCAGTGGTCAGGTATTCTCTCTGCCTCCCAGCCCTTCATCCACAGTGACTTTTGAGCATTAAAGGTTGCAAGGAGGTAAGATTTACTTGGAAGTCACTGGCTACCTGGGCCTTGAAGAGGCTGTTTAATATTGTTTCAAGACTCTAACCATTAAACTCTCCAATCAATCCAAGTTAGGGAGATGAATTATTTAAAGCTCACCAGCTTTTAATTAGCAGGCTCCTTTTGAACTATGGATCTGGTTGCATTATTGACAAAGGTAGCATTAAAATTTGCTTCTCTGCCTGGGAGCAGATTTGCCTGGATTGTGTGCCATGTTGGGAGGATCATGGGGAGGGAGCAGGAACTGCAGGAGCTGTGTGTGCATGTCCTGCTCTGGGGACTTGGGCTTTTTCAGGGGTTTCCTGGTAGATGCAGAGTTAGTTTCTGCCTCATCATTCCTCATTCTATTTGTGTGATGACCTCTCTTGTTGCTGTCATCCCTTACTCCAACAGTGCCCCCATTCTCTGGAGTATCATCTGTCTGCTATTGGTTTCTACCCCTTTATTTCAGTGCTGTTGTCTTGCACAGGTGTGACTCCTCTGCCTGACAGAGTTCAGGGATTTGCTGCTCATGTCCCTTCTTATTCCATTCCTTTAGGAGAGTTTTGCCAAACTCCCTCTGTGGAGGAGCTTTCCCAGTACAGGGTGAGCCATAGGCTAATTGCCCATAGAAAGTGAGGCCCAGCACCCGAACTCCCTTCTTGCAGCACTCCATCCCAATGGCAAACCTGCCTTTCCCACACTGCTTGGAAGGGGTTTTACATGGGTGCTGTGAAGGATGCCAAGCCAGCAGTGTGACAGTGTGACATCTCCTTGGTACTGCCAGTGGTGCACATGTGCCCTGTGTGTTACAGGCTGCTGGCTGCTCCATTTGAGCTGGCTCCAGAGCAGATCTGTCCTCAATGTCTACAATGCTCTGACTGCCTGCAGAGGTGGTAGCCGCTGGCACCGTGTGCCTGCTGGCTTTACCAGCAGGCTGAGTACCCCAGAGTGGGCTGGAGTCAGGGAGAAGAACTCTTCCTCCCAGCCAGCTTGGCACCAGCAGGTATAGCTGCTGTCAGGGCTGCTGGCTTCATGGCTTATTGCCTCAGAAAAGGCTTGAGTCAATGCTGGTGTCTAGAGACATGCCTTTCCTGGCATTTTTTCAATGAACCAGCTTCCTGGGTTTCTGGCCACTTAATTTCTCAGCCTGGCCTAGGCATGGATCAGGTGTTGGTTCTAGTAACAGCCCAAAAGATTCCCAAGTCAGGGGCTGAGGAGGGACTGCTCACTGCAGAGGCAGCCTGGCTTGCTTGGGTCCAGTGTTGCTGCCTCATCCTGGAGACAGTGTCAGTCTCCACAGCCAAGTCCTTCCATATTGGCCACTAGGACTGGACACAGTCATCCAAATTGCTGATGGTCACCCTGCACCCTTACCTCTCTCTTATTCATGCTTTTGACTGCCCGTGCATCAGTGTTGGGAGGAGCTATCCATCCCTTTCCCTGCTCAGGCTGCCCTTCCCTTCTCTCTCTGAGTATATGGAGCCTTGGTCCCAACACAGCCCTGCCTTCTCAGTCGAATTTATTTTATTTGGGCCCCTAATCAAGGTCTGCTGCAGAAGGAAGTGGAGAACAGTGAAGACTGTTCTCAGCTGCCAGCCTGTCCACAGTGAGACAAGGAGCTGGCTGTGGATCTGGGGATGGTCCCATGCCATGTAGAGCCTCCCTTCTCTTTGTGCTCAGCTCTGGAATGCAGCAGTGTTGAAGGAATGTTAGGGAGCTGAGAGGAGGCTTCTTGGGTCATCTAAGGAGCCTCTGATTTTCATGGCCCTCATGGGTCACTGATGGCCAAAAATCTGCAAGCCAAAGACAACTGAGAAGGGAGCAGCAAGGAGATCTGACAGCCAGTCTCACCAGTTTCACAGGTACCATGCACTGTAAGAGTGTCTGTGCAGCTCCTTTCTTAGCAGTCTGGGGAGCAGTCCAGGGAGATGCAAACATTCCTGTGAAGCCTCAGTGTGCTTATGCAGGAATGCACAACACGGATGTTTCCCTTCAAATCTGACAGAAAAATTGCAGTGGATAGCCACTTGTTTTTGCAAACAATTTGCAAGGAATTTTGCTGTCTTGCCTGAAAGATTCTGTATTGCTTTGTTTTCAAATCATCCTCTGTTTCACTGTCTCATCAGGTATCTGTTCCAAATCCCTGCACTTGACATGCTCTGGAACCAGTCCTGCTCTATGTTTCATCTTCTTTCCTCATCATGTTCAAAATCTGCAGAGTTCAGGGTGCTTGACACCCTGCAGGGCCAAGGCTGGATTCTGGATAGGAGCCACCTTTAGCATCCAGTTGATACAGGCAGGATGGGCTCGTGCTGGAGCACAGTGGAATCTCCCTACATCCCCTGGAACACAGCTGCACATACAGCAAGCTGCTGCACAGAGCTCAGGTTCTAGCTTTTGTCTGGTTTCTAATCATGAGCAAGTGAGCTGCAAAGCTTATTGAGAGGTTAGAAAAGTGATTTGTGTTCCCAAATACACCAAAATGTATCTGCATACACTGCAAATACAGCTGCCTTGGGGTGGGATGGGTGCAGGTCTAGTGCCATTGTGTTCTTGAGAGAAAAAATGTAAAGGAACGGGGGAAAATGTACAGATTTCAGGATAAGGAGATAGAAAAGTCCTGCTCCAGAGGGTGAGGATGCAGGAATTCCTTTGGAGATCAGGAAGGAGCAAAAGGGGTATGAAGCCTATTCTTTCATGCTCTTCCTCAGGTTGATATTTCAACTCTAAGGATTCCCTCTGGGCTGAATGTGTCGCTGGAGACTAGAGAGGACATTTTTATGCCATTTCCATCTCTTCTCTAACACAGGTTAGATATGTGTCAGCTCCAGTGTGGGCTGTAGAATCTTGGGGTGAGGAACTTCTCTTTGTCTGCTGTTTTATTGGCCCTCAGCAAAATGAAGTTGAGTCTTGCCAAGAAGTTACTCAGTCTTACATATATGGGGACATTGCCATTCTTAACACATGTGTTTGAGGCAGTGCTTGCCAAAAACAAGCTTCATCTTTTAATGGGAGTCTTGGCACTTGCAGGCAAAGACCGGCATTCACAGGCTCCACACCAGTGGAGCTGGGAACCTGTGTTGGGATCTCTCTGCTGAGAGTCAGAGATTCCTACAAATCACAAGGATTAAAATCCCAGGTTTTAGTTGTGATTTAAATCAGACAGCAGATCACCTGCATTCAGAAATTCATTTTCTTCTGGTTTTGCCTTTTTTAAACCCGTTTCCCTGAAAAAAAGGTCAAATTTCACTGAACAGCACCTATTAAGCCAAGTACAGCTTTCCTTACTACTGCCCAGTTGTTAAATCTGGTTATTCTTTTACTCATTCAACACTCTATTTTTGCTACATTTATTTTGATCGATTATGTAACGTAATATGCCTTTAGACTTAGTTTTAAAATATTTTTTGCACTAGAAAAATGGTGAATTACTATTTGTTCTTGAAGAGTTGGTGATTAAATTATTACTCATGATTGCTCTTTTGGATGAAAACTGTAATGCCGTGTTAATGCACCCCAGCGGTAGTTTGAATTGATTTTATTAGGAAAATCCTCTTTCCCTTGCAGATATTCACTACAGAAGGAAAAGTAAATCTCTGAATACTTTTTAGGTAAAAAAAAACTGGTACATGAAACCAAAGCAAGAAGTGATCAGTGAGCTGGAGGAGTGTTTCTAATACCTTTCAAGGTATTAGAATGAGTACTCTCATACTCTCACCTTGGTTGGTTGGTTTGTTTGTCTTCATTGATTATTGGAAAGATAAAAGACAAACCTTCTTTTCCATTTTCAATCTTTTGTTGTTTCTCAGCTCTGAACTAGCCAGTTCTTGAACTGAAAATACACCAAAACCAGCAAAAAATTTTCAAAACTGCAGAAGTAGCAGCTCCTACTGGAAAAGATTTTTTTCTCATTTGTCAGCTCTGCTTCCCTCTCCAGTGCATTGACTGTCTTTAAAACATGACATTATTCCTTGCTACTGATCTTTTTTGAATCTAATTTAATGTAATTGAATCTTTAAAGTTTAGGTTTTAGCACATGTATTACTGTGATTTTAGATTAAGTTTTAAATGTCTGGTTTGGGGTTTGTT